ATATCTTTCTGAGCATATATAACATGGGTGTCCGTTTTCATCCTGTATAGATATTAACAATTGCTTTCATTAACCATAAAAAAACAATCATTTATTCCTGACAAATATAATTTACATTGGGCATCCCAATTAACATGCAAGATCAAGTTGTTACTAACGCCATGTAATTTATTATGTTAAACTCATTCAACTATCTTCGGCCTGCCATAAAGTACGTTTTCCTGCAGAAACAGGGTAACAAAATATTAATGCATATACAGTCGGTTTTCCAATAAATGTTGAAATGTAAGCCTAAAACGTGACACATCATATGAGCATCGCGTTAGAAGGCTTGAATATTGGTAGTTAGTACTCCGGGATAGATACATTGTACTAAACAAGAAATTTGCTTGCATTTTCGTCTTGGAATTATAAATAAAAGCGTAATTTTGACTCGTGTTCTCGACATGTTGTCCAGATGTTGTACTTCGAAAATGTATACGACGTTTACAAATGTAGCATTTTGAGCATCGTTTATTTCATCTTGATTATATGCAGTGGATTGAAAAGCCATTACTCTCATCTTGTGATACTGTATTGACCAAGAATATTACCAATAAAAACTATTACTGCAGGGATATAATAATAATAATAATAATAATAATAATAATTTATTCTCAAATAACAGTTTGTTACATGAGGCATGCCAGTTTACAGGCAAGATCAAATTGATACAAATGATACAATATACACTGTATTAAATTACATAGCTGGGTTGAAAATTTATAAGACATGAATGTAGATTGTTTTAATCAGTACTACAGTTGGCGCGCTTCACGAGAGTTGCGTTGCGAATGTGCGACTGACGATCAAGAATAGGTCCATTGAAGGTATGAGCTTCTAGAAATCGCAACCTTATGTCCCTTTGGGATATCCAAGGCTTTAAGGATGGTGCAGGATGAAGTAACCTGTTCCATATCTCAAGGGGCTGAAAGAGGGAGGAAGTAAAAGAAAACACGAGAGGCAGAGTAGCCAATATTCATGTAGGAATGTTTAAGGTATGATTACTCAGTCTAATTTTCTTTTATTAAGGTATTTGTTAAGAAAGAGCATTTTAATAGGTTAAAGAAAATAAGCTTTAGCAAGGTGTGAGTGGACATACAACTGACAAATGGAGGCGACTCGGAAAAGAGCTGAGAGTATAAGATTATGTGTGATTATAAAATAAAATATAGTGCTAGAAACAGTATTGTGATATACAACTGGCTATCTTCCTTTTATTATCGAAGCTATTAGAGCCCCTTTCGTTTTTTTTTAAGGTTTTATAGGGTCTTGAGTAGGCTTCGTATATTAGCGAATTGTCTAGTTTGCTTGTAATAGGATTTCTGAGTAGGAAGTGAAACCAATTTAACGTTCGTAACACGATTTAAAGAGGTATTTTGCGTGATAAATCAGCTTCAATACCTTAAGTCCGTGACATCCCACTAAACCATAAGGAGCCGTAATTAAACAAAATGTTCTGCCCTACAGACATGGGTGGATTGAAGTTATCTCCCCACCTTCATGTTTGCTGGTCAGTAACGCCACCCTCCCTCCTTTTGTGATGTTAGGCTCTCCTACGTTTGTGGTAAGTATGATTAATGCTTTAATCAAAGTACATAGTTGGAATACACTGTCTCTACTAGGTCCATGTTACAAGCAAATCAGATATTTAAAAATTCTGTTTTATGGGTTAGACGTCCATATAGTATATCACACTGCTATGAAAATAACTAATGGTTTAAAGAAGTAAGGATTAATAGTAAATCAAAAGATATGAGAGGGTATAAAATTGTAGAAAAAAAAAAAAAAAAAAGACTTTAGGGTAAAAAAATAAGACATTGAGAAACTCACAAGACTTTGTGGCCAAATTTTGAGCTTTGAATGATCGGCCTTAGTAGATCAGCATCCATAAGATTGAGCTATCTGTCTACTTGCAGTAGAAAAAAAAGCATGACTTTTAGGAAGAATAATGTACATTTAACCTGTAGAGATTTGGGGACTGAAAGCTAGGGTTAGGAGCATGAAGTCATGATTAATAAACAATGAATAATAGGAAAGGATAAGCCATATATCCTGTGATTTGGTTATATTCATATTAGTAACAGTCGAACTTGTTATAATTTTGTTCTTTCTAGATACTAGGCGGTCCGTAATAAAGTGCCTCATTGGTGGGCGGGAGTTCAAGGTAATGTTGAAGCTCTTTGGAGTCTAGAAATAGGGTTATTAGCTTTTTGAATCTGGTAAACGTATCACAGTTACGGATAGGCATTGGCAGCCTGTTCCACAATAAACTGTACCGTACTGTGAAGAACTTACAACGCATTTGTTTTTGGTGTTTTACGGTAAGTAGTGTATATGCGTTGTTTCTAAGTCTATAGGCTGGGTCGTGGGTGATAGTCGGGCAGGAGGTTAGAAAGGAGAGCCCATATATCGCTTTGTAGAGAAATATTAAATTGTGTTTTAGCCTACGGTGCCATAAAGGTTCTAAAGATAGATGCTTACATCTGTCTGTGTAATCGAGATTCGAGTTACATCCTAGTAGTTGACGTGTGAAACGTCTTTGAACATCTTCTACTCTTATCTTGTCTGCGATATTCATATTAGAGAAGACAAAAGAGCAGTATTCAAGGGTGGGTCGTACACATATTTTGTAGAGAGTAAGTTTACCCTCTGTTGTGAAAAAGTTTTTCATTATAAAACCAATTAGCCGTCTAGATTTAGAAATAATAGAGGAGGCATGTTCTTCAAAGTTTAGGCTTCCTGTGTAATTAATTCCTAAATCGTGTACTGATTCGAGTGTTTGGACTATACATTCATTTAAGTGAAGTCGCGGTTTATAGGGATGCTTTCCAAAGTGCATGATCCCGCACTTGTTGAGGTTAAATGGTAATTGCCATTTTTCACTCCATATAGTTAAGTTATTGAGGTCCTTTTGGATCTGGGATACACTTTCGCTTAGTGTCTCAGGCTTATAGCTGTATACTATTTTGAGATCATCAGCATATAAGTACGGTTTCCCAAATTCTATGGTGTTACATATATCGTTTATATACATAAGAAACAAAAGTGGCCCTAATACGCTTCCCTGGATGACTCCACTGGTGATTGGTCTAGGGGACGAGAGACAGTCATTGTACTTTACCATCTGTTTACGTTCTGTTAAGAACGAAGCAAACCATGAGTACAGTGGGTTGTGTATTCCGAAGGACTTTAGTTTGACGAGTAGCCTTTTGTGTGGGACCTTATCAAAGGCTTTCTTAAAGTCTAGGAATAGGACTGATACAAGGAGTCCGCTGTCTCGTTTCAGAGTTATATCATTCAGGTAGTCTACTAGGCATGTATCGCATGATCTGGACCTAAGAAATCCATGCTGGGAGGTCGACAAGAGATTGTTAGTTAATAGATGTTGGACTACAGCCGCCTTAACTACTTTTTCCATCACTCTGGATACCACTGAAGTTATGTTTATAGGCCGGTAATTTTCAACGTTTGCTTCAGGTCCTGTTTTAATTTTGGGAATGATATGTGTAGTTTTCCAGGCAGTAGGGTAACACGCTGAAGAGAGTGATATCGCGAATAGTTTGAGAAGCAAAACACACATATCATCACCTCCACGTTTTAGCATGCTAGATGGAATACCATCTGGTCCATCAGTGTAGGAGTGTTTCAATGTACTGATTGCTTTGGAGATATTTTGTACACTGAATTCTACATTAGTAATTTCACAGGGAGTTACTGGGATTGGTTCTGAATCATTAAATGGTTTTTCGTTAGTTAGTGAGAAACAAAAATGTTCACTGAATAATTCTGTGATAAGTTTGGGATCTTCGTATACTTGTTTGCCTTTAATGAATATACTCCCTCTCGATTTAGAGCGTTTAAGTTTATTTTGGAGTAGTATGGTGAGTGCAGAGGAGTTATTATTAAGTTCAACTGCACGTTTTTCCTGTGCTACTGCTTTTTGTTTACTTATTGCCTTTGTTCGGACAAGTATTTCTGTCATCGTTACTAAAGAGGAAAAGTCATTTAAGTTGTGGAATCGAGTACAATGTCTTTGAAGACGTCTTCTTGTACTGACCGGTATATAGAGATCTTTGGAGAACGTAGGTTTACAGTATTCTAAAGGTGCGATGTTGTTGATGATACTTTTGATGTTGTGATAAAATATATTGGTTAATGTGTCGGTATTGTTTGAGGTAAAGAAAGTTCTCCAATCAGTGCTTCTTAGGTAATTGTGGAAGTTATTCCAATCAACCTTGCGATAGTTTCTACGAAGTGTTACGGTTTTACTTATATCGGTTGTGGTTTTTACATTAAGGCTGCATATGACAATGTTATGATCACTACCTGGGAACTTTTTTCCAATATACAAAGTATTGGGGATGAGGCCACTGGTAAAGACTAAGTCTAAGATGTTTTGATGTCTGGTAGGGCTATCGACATACTGAGTCCATTGTCCAAGCTCTAGACATTCAATAAATGATTCATAACGTCTCGGCGCTTTGACTGGCAGCCAAGAAATTTCGGGCATATTGAAGTCACCACAAATGAGCTTGCCTGTGAATGAGAGGGATGATGCTAGCGTGAATACCTCCGATAATACTGCTATTTCATCTATTGATGCGTTAGGTTGACGATAAACACAGCCGAGCAGTAAGGTAACGGAATTCGACGGCTTTAATACAATCCACACCGAATCCTTCAGTTTGTTTAGTTCAGGCATATCACATAGCAGTGAGTTCAGGCTAGAGTGAGCGTAAATAAGGCATCCTCCGCCTCGTCCATTCAATCTATCGCTTCTATATAGGGAATAGTTATCTAGAGATATGCTTCGGTCGGAAATATTACTGTTAGTCCATGCTTCAGATATCATAATAACTGATGGTTGATATATGGATACAAACAGGGCTAAATCCGTCTTTTTGTTGCAGATCGATCGAGCGTTGATAAGACATATATTAAGCAAGTGGCCTACTAAGTTAAAATGGGTGAGGGTATCTCGGATAAAGTCGTCGTAACCCTCGCGTGTATGAGATGAGTTTGATGTGAGGGATTGGATGTTCTTCATTAGCTCGGTATTTTGATAGCTAGACTTATTGGGAGATGTATCAAATGAGCTAGTGAAGTTGATTGGGGAGTTTACCCAGGAGGAAAGGGTGGGAGTACTCTCTGGTGGAAACTGTACGGAGGAAACAAATTTATGGTTTGCATGTGGTTTGAAATAACCTGGGCTATATGCTTCAACAGAGGTGTCACTAGGGGTCTTATTCCAAAAAAATCTTGTACAGGCCTACTGTGAAGTGTATGGTTATTTACAAAATAGTCTTGATGGTTAGACTCGTAGCCCCTGTTATGGCTTTTTACGTTAGCGCGAGAGGGGTCTGCTACGCGTAACTGGGAGGAGTTGCGACTGTTGTTATACATGGGAGCCGTTGTTATGTGATGGGTCGGTACTAAAGGGTATGAGAAGTTTTCTTTTTGAGAGTAATTACAGTTGCGATCCTGGGGAATGTAGGTAGGGTGTGGAGTGAGAAACCTATTATTACCATTCTTATTTATGGTTTTAGGCTTCAGAGGGGGATTTGGGTGGCCAGTTCTCTGGTAGTTTTCGTTAGTCTGCGTGTAAGAAGGCTTGCTACGTTGAAGCCCACCACCCTTTTTGCAACTTGGAGGTGTTGAAGGCAAGTTATACGATAGCAGCGGGGAGAACCTGTTCACTGTTCTTGGGATACCTATAGAGCAGTTGGGTTCAATCTTACGTGTTTCCCTATTCGGTATCATGAGTTTTGTCTTCCCACCCTTTATTTTCAGAGCAGGATTCTTTCGTTGTCTTTGTGAGATGAACTTACGTTCATTCAAGTCTACTTGTGGAATATCTTTAGGAGGACAAATTTTCAAGTGTATAGGTTTAGTTGCACATGTGTTGTTACACGACTCACATTTTAGTACATTACTGAATGAACAGCTGGGATTAGTCATGTCGTTATGGTTTTTGGTGTCAGTTGGGGTCCGTATCTTATCCAAAGGTTTCTGATCTGTAGACTCATCTAGATCAACAGAGTGATCAGCCGTATGTGGAGTGGTGTCATGCTTAGTGTTCGTGTGTTTTAAACTATTTGCTGTGTTGCAAACTGTCTCTGGCTGATTATTAACTGTAACACTCCCATTCAATATCACATGCAACTGCTCAGGTCTAAGATTTTTGGTGACGTACGAAAAAGAATATCCCATATTTTTAAATATTAAGAAACCTACCAAACTTCAGTTAGACTTGTATGCCGAGGAATATACATGTATTCATCCTTTTTGTAGTCGCCCAAACATGCACTGTTGTGTTTTATTTGGATGCAAACATTGCCGACTGGTAAGGCCAATAGTGTGTTATGATTTGGATCGTGTTTGCTATGACATTTATCTGCTGAGGCTCTTCAGTCACCCTGAACTTCGTTGAGCTCGGCGCAGAATTATCGACCATCGATGTTAGTTGAAAACCAAAGGCTGTGATGTTGGGATGATCCCAACTTCGTATTTTCTGTGAAGGCTGTACTTAGCATGGTGCTAGATGTTGTTGATAATGTACTCGTCGAATTTTTTCGGTCCCAGAAAAATGTCCAGGCATTGGGCTGATAGAGAGGTGAGTGAAGTATCGTTACGTCAACCTAGGGTACTCTCGTAGAGGGTTCCACGGTATTCAATGTGCCAATCATCAAGTTGAGTGGTCAACAGCCTCTGAAATCCTAGGGATAGCTCAGTCGTACTATTACAAGTTAGATCATTCCTTCACCTACTAATAATCTAAGAAATGATGCTTTGTTCGGATGAGTTACTTCTGAGATCCTTCCTTATTTATGCACATTTATATGAAAGTTAACATATTATGGTAGAATTCGATGTATTTGTGCCCCCGTCTGCTGACTTCTTGGTCTGTTTTTAAACGCTCTTCAAACTGGAAAATCCTCAGATTTTCGACCATAATTATAGTTTACAAACGAGATGGAGTTGGCCTGTTTAGTCTCGGTCATAAAAATCTCTCATACAATCCTATGTTTGCTGACGCCTACTGACTGATGGATTTGCGTTCTTATATACGCCTGTTACTCCTCACAAAGCATAGAACGCCGAAATTTGTTTGGATAGTTACAACACGATCATGATGCTCGGGGTACAATATAATTCCCCCATAAACATTGTCAAATGCTTTTTCATAGTCAAGTAACTTTATGTATATCAAGTGATTCCATTCAATCGATTGTTCAGCAGTGACCCGTATTATCGCGATTCGTTCGGCACACGATTGATTTATATGGAGTCTAGCCTCTTGGTTTTCAAGATGTATGTTTACATAATCTTTCGTTCAGCCCAACAACCTGTTGAAAATCTTTCCTGATACTGATATTTCAGTGATGCATCTTTAATTTTCACACTTGCTGAGGTCTTTCTTCACTGAACATTTGAGATATTTTTTTCTCAAGTCCATCAGTACTTTTCCTTCCTGCTGTGTTCGAAGAGATTACGAGTTCACTTGATCTGTGAACGGAACGAGGACTCAGCGACAAAATTACTAAATCAGCTAACTATTCCGATTCGTCCCCGCCCGCTAACTAGAGAGAGAAGTCCAGGTTCAAAATAGAGAAGTATATTTCACCAACTGTCAGAAGCATGAACAACAACAATAATCACAACTCAATCGTATAAATGGAGCATAAAAATGTGTTTAGGAAACGTCACAAAATAGAATAATAAAAGGGACGACGAACCAATACATTTAACGTCCTCTCAAGTAGGAAATACGACATGAAGGCGAAAACGGCTGCTTTTGACGCGAAAACAAGAAATTCAAATTTTTAAAATAGAATTACAAAAATCTGGCATTTGCCAAATGAGTTCTGAGAATCTAACTTTCCCAACACTTCCTTCTAAATTTTCCTCAGCAGAATGTAAAACATCGTTGCACTTGCTCCAACATTGACTTTCAGTGCTGCATATACCATTCTGTATGGTCCTGCTATTTCTTACCCATGTTCTGTCTGTTAATCATGCTGGGGCTTCAAATTGTTAGTACCTACAGGAAGGTATTAAAGTGCTGCTTCGATGTCCAAAGGATCTAGTAACGCTGTCTTTTTGAGAATCCTTCAAAGTTTTCTCTCTACCTATTCCGCTGTTCTAGAATCTCGGAGTTGGTTTTCCTGTTGCTTGTTGACTGGTCGTTCCGGTTGACCATATTTTTCAGCCACATTTTTGTCGTATTATATAGTTATCACATATTTCGTTCTCTAGCAGCATCTTCCAGTGACATTTCTTGGTCTTCCACATATTTACGACAATCAGCTCTATGATTCTCATTGCTCGAGTGTTTACATCGTTCTATGCTTTTGTTCGGCAGATGTTAACCGCTTTCCCCTTTTTATTATGTCATCAGTAATTCCTAGAGTATCAATATAAATCAGTTGTACGTGCTCGTGTTCGCTGGAGCCTGTCAACTCCTTGGATGCTTTCATTGGTCCCTTTCCAATTGTCCTCCGATTTGGCGTCCTGATTTTTGACTATGACGTGTAGGACATAGTTATATTGCTGCTAGTTATCACGAAGTCATTTAGTTTGATAGCACCTCGAAATACCGTCACATTACAATTTAATCGTTTTGTTTTCAAGTTAAAGCTTTAAACATCTTAAAAAAAGCAAATCGACTGACTAATTATTCGATGAGAAATTTGTAAGCTAATAATATATAAGCGTTTATAAGATGTATTGAAGTGTCCATTAAACATGAAAATATTGGAACAGAAAAGTCCAAACATTTCGATATAGAATTCTTAGTTATCATGTTGACGACTTTCGTTAAGTCTCATCACCTTCAGTCAGAAAGTGACAGTCGACTCAGCGAAACGAAAGTCGTCTCGACTAACTAAAACTAAAGTTTGCTGCTGTCAAAATTACGTACCTTTCTTTGAGTCATGCAAAGTCAAAGTTTTTGTCAAACAACAATGTTTCACGTAAATAATTTTGATTTTCTTCGTAAATTACGGCGAACAATTCAAAAATGGTTGGACCATTAGCGTACACAAAGTCTATTGATTTTGGTTACCCAGAATACTGAAGACTTTAGGCGCAGAAGCACGGCGTCTTACTTCGAGAACCGGTAATGCTGAGAGAAGAAATCAAAATATTCATACTCGTTGGGACACCGTCAAATGTGGAAACTTAGGCGAGGCACCTATCTGAAAATACATCACAACTTTTTCCATAAAACTTCAGTCAGACAACACTTCCATTCCATCTGCTGGACCAACAAACAATAAATTAAAATTTTCACCTTATTCACTGCATCTACCTTAAAACAGTGCTAACAAAAAAGTCGTCAAAGAATCTCCGATGGCTCAACTTTTAACATTAACACTAACACTGCATTTCGGACAAATATTCACTTTCATTTTTGGTACCATGATCAACAAGGCTTACAGAGAAGGCACTAGATCAGTAGAAATGGCAAAAGACGACATTAATAAATCAGAAACATTTGTCACCGGAATGTCCGTGAAAATTTACCAGATACGTATGTGTGCAATAGGACTGTCTAATAAGTCTGCATTTGTCATAATGCAACTGTGAGCAGACGCTTGCTATAAGAAGCAAGTATAACAAATGCATGAGTTAGGTTTGTCATCACTGAGTAAGAAAATCCCTCAAGGCTATATACTACAAACCTGATGATGGGGGAAACGGAAAAGATGATCAGCAAAGCAATTCAATATGAAGTGTATGATATGAGTCTATGAAAAAAAGTAAAGTTACATTTTAAACATTGTAATTCGTGATCGAACATTACTCCTGTTTTCAATTCAGCGTAATGACTACTCAGTGCAATATTTGTTTTATCTTCAGTGTTATATTTTACTCAACACAAGATTGGTTTGTTTCATCGTTATTCTCACTCAAAATATGATATCCTTTGTATTCAGTTGACGTGAGCTGTGTTCAGCGTGACAAATGCCATCCGAATTTTTTATGCATCTAACTTCCTCCTTAAATTATAATCAAATAAGTGTGCTAGTCGTAGTGTTCTTCTCCACTTTTAATAGTCATACATATTCCCACATCGCGTCGTGTGAATAGCAGTGGTTCCTCATTTTAACTTATAAGTAATAAGCAACGCGAATAAAGAGATTTACGACAGCGGTTTTTGAAAAACAGGATCACACCAATTTTTCTCTGGTACTAATTTATAAGTTCTAGTTTCCAAGTTAAACATAATAACATATATTTCTGACATCGAACGTACACGCTGTTTTCAGACGCGTGATCATAAATTTGAAACGTGAGATTGCAGATAGGATAGTAGGTAGCTAGGGTTGTTGGATAGATAACGTTGGTAAAAATATATAATAGAATTTTCGTGCAGATACAACGATAAACTACTATATGGGTTTGTGCGTCGGAACTGTGCTGTAAGTTCAAAGTTTTTACAATCATATCGATAATAGCACGTCGTTCAAACCGTAAACTTGACGGATATGCCACCGTAAAAAATGAATTCTGCCGTTTACGCACGCATGTGACGTGTTATTTTGTGCACCATAAAATCGATATTTCTCAGCATAGTACCGACAGTTGTATTATTTTGTTCATCCGGCGAATTTTGAACACCTTAACCTCATAATTTAAAGCAAATAATCGTGGTTTATTTCCAGGGTTATGCTCCAATGAGAAGTTGTTACATTAGACCCAATCTCGTCTTTCAAGTCAATCAAACATCGCATATTTATAATTCGATTCTTCATGGGGTTTGCGTTGACGTATTCCAAGAATCGCAAATAAATTGTAGCCCATAAGCAGTTGGCAATCGGTTGTAATTATTTTCCACACGATCCAATATGTTATCTTCCAATAATTTTTAAAACGAAAAAAATTAATTTAATGTAAAAACTTGAGGAATATGCGCTTGCAAGCTTTTATAGTTTCATCCGTAATAGAATGACGTCCTCTGTGGAATACATCATTTAACTTAATAGCAGCTGCTTAGCTATACAGAAAAAATACGCCACAGTTTTTATCGCTTTTCTCAACTTCTTGAAATCGCCATAACCCACGATCATGATTTTCGTAAACAAAAATGTCATTTGCAATAAAAGAAAATAAGAATGATTCCAAACACAAGATTTACTAAGTATAACTACGCAGATCATTTTGTCAAATTTGAACATAGTTAAAGTAAAAGGAAAGCCGTCAATTCTCAGCATTCGCTACAGTTGTTTACAGTTACCCAATGGATTTGGTGGCAATTATTTTACTCGTTCGTGAAAAGTGAGTGGTGCATGAAAAC